GTGGATCATCATAAAGATCTTCATCCTTGTCTTCACATTGAGTAGGCTAGGGAGGAAAAGGAGAGGTTGTTCTTGCTGCCTCAGGGATGGCAGAGGCAGAAGAAATAAAGGAGTGGATGGAAGGCAGGGGCAGGCACCCTCAGTGTAACTTTTATTAAAAAAAAAATCTGCATATAAGCAGACCTGCACAGTTCAAAACCATGTTCAAGGGTCATCTGTATTTTTTATTATGCCTCTCTAGTGAGGAGAGGTCCTCAGATGCTGTGAAAAGGAATGGGAGGCTTGAGTTGGCATTTGTCACTGAACCCCATCAGGCAGTGCCCTCCCTTCCCGGCTGGGCCTTAATGTGGCTTCTCTGAGTCCATGATGTCTTCTAGAACTACACGGTTATTTATCTGGGTTTAACTTATCCCTTCATGGCTTGCCACGTACCCATGTGGCTATTACTGCTCCTCCATAACACCTCAGCTCTTACCCATATCTTATTTTTCCTTCTCTTTATTCTTGGCTTCTCCTCGTGCTTCTTGGCTTTTTTAAAGTTGGATTTGTATCCTTAACATCTCATTTTGAAGATTTCTTTTCATCTTCATCAGGAAACTAATCAATTTTTTTACATTTTTTATCTTTCTTGGTTATTTAGATACATTCATTTGGAGATGTCCTTGTTTCTGTGGTTATAGCTTTGCCAAGGAAATTGAAATGACCAGACATTTGATTGCTAAGTGGTTTGTATGTATCTTAAATAAGCATTAGTCAAAGCTATTCAAGTAACTATGTTTTTCAATATTTGTGATGTTTCTAGCAACCGATTGTAGAGCAATGGGGAGGAAAAAGGTGGAGGAAAACTCTGGGACATTATATCTGATTGTCCTGGTTTTAGATTTTCTATATATATATAAAATATTATTTTTAATAATTTTTATTTCAACATATTAAGGGGTACAAGTATTCTTGTTACATGGATGAAGTCAGTGCTTTTAGTGTGCCCATCACCAGAATAGTGTACATTGTATCTGATAGGTAAGTTTTTATCCCTCTCCCGATTCCCGCCCTCCCCCTTCTTAGTTTCCAGTGTCCTTTATACCACTTGGTAAACTTACCTACCCATTGTTTAGCTCCCACTTATTAGTGAGAACATGTGGTGTTTGTTTTTCCATCCCTGAGATAACTTCACTTAGGATAATGGTCTCCAGTTCTATCCAAGTTGCTGCAAATGAAATTATTTCATTGATTTTTATGGCTGAGTAGTACTCCATGGTGTATGTATATCCCACATTTTCTTTATCCACTTATCAATTGATGGGCACTTAGGTTGATTCCACATCTTTGCAGTTGTGAATTGTGCTGCACTAAACATTCGAGTGCAGGTATCTTTTTGATAAAATTACTTTTCCTTTGCGTAGATACCCAGCAGTGGGATTGCTGGATCAAATGGTAGGTCTACTTTTAGTTCTTTGAGGAGTCTCCATACTGTTTTCCGTAGAGGTTGTAGTAATTTACAGTCCTACTAATAGTGTGTAAACATTCCTTTTTCACCACATCCACGCTAATATCTATTGTTTTTTGATTTTTTAATAATGGCCATTGTGATAGGGATAAGGTGGTATCTCATTTTGGTTTTAATTTGCATTGCCCTGATGATTAGTGATGTTGAGCATTTTTTCAAATGTCTGTTGTCCATTTGTATATCTTTTGAAAAAACTTTGTTCATGTCTTTTGCCCACTTTTTAATGGAGTTCTTTGTTTTTTTCTTGCTGATTTGAGTTCTTTATAGATTCTGCATAGTAGCCCTTTGTCAGATGTATTTTTAATTTAATTAAGTCCCATTTATTATTTTTTTATTGCTGTATTTGCCCTTATGGCCCTAGTCGTAAATTCTTTGCCTAGCCTGATGTCTAGAAGAGTTTTTCCTGTGGTTTCTTTGAGAATTTTTATTGTTTTAGGTCTTAGATTTAGATCTTTAATCCATCTTGAGTTTTGTATATGATGAGAGTTAGGGATCCTGTTTCATTCTTCTGCAGGCTATCCAGTTTTCCCAGCACCATTTGTTGAATATGGCATCCTTTTCCCAGAATGTGTTTTTGTCTGCTTTGTCAAAAATCAGTTGGTCATAGTTATATGGTTTTATATCTGGGTTCTCTATTCTGTTCTGTTGGTCTGTGTCTCTACCGTTGTACCAGTATCATGCTGTTTTAATTACGGTAGCCTTGTGGTATAATTTATAGTCAAGTAATGTGATGCTTCCAGATTTGTTCTTTTTGCTTAAGAGTGCGTTGGTTATTTGGGCTCTTTTTTGGTTCCATATGAAGTTGAGGATTATTTTTTTCTAGATCTGTGAAAAGTGATGTTGGTATTTTGTTGGGAATTGCACTGAATCTGTAAATTACTTTGGTCAGTGTGAACATTTCAGTAATGTTGATTTTCCAATCCATGAGCATGGGATGTTTTCCCATTTGTTTGTGTCATCTATGATTTCTTTCATCAGTGTTTTTGTAGTTCTCCTTACAGAGATCTTTCATCTCCTTGGTTACGTGTATTCCTAGGTATTTTATTTTCTTTGCAGATATTTTAAATGGTATTACATTCTTGATTTGACTCTCAAGTTGACTGTTGTTATTACTATATAGAAATGCTACTGATTTGTGTACATTGATTTTGTAACCTGAGACTTTGCTGAATTTATTTATCAATTCTAGGAGTCTTTTGGTGTAGAGTCTTTAGGGTTTTCTAAATACAAGATCATATTGTCAGCAAACAAGGATAAATTTGACCTCCTCTTTCCCAATTTGGATATCCTTTTTGTCTTTCTCTTGCCCAATTGCTCTGGCTAGGACTTCCTGTATTATGTTGAACAGAAATTTCCTGTATATATGTTTTAACTTTTTTTCTTTTTTGAGACACAGAGTGACCTAGTTTACAAAATGGGGTATTGCTTTAGCTTATATACCACTGGGACTTCTTGAAGAGACATAGGTCCAAAATATTAATTTTTGAAAATGGGAAAATACTATTCTGTATTAATCTACAGATTTGTTTATCGAATTATTATTTACATTTAGTGGAACATGTTTCTTGAATTGTAAGCTGTAAGAGGCATTTCGCCTCAGCTCGTTTCATGTAATCTTTTTGTAGAGTTATATAAATGTTATCACTTAATAAATATTCCTGTTGTGAATGATGAAGAGGTTTCAACTGCTATACTGACAAATGCCCTTTAATTAATCTTTTACCAATCATTCAAGCTTTAGTTACTGAACTGTTTTTATTCCTAGAAATATTTTACCAAAAAATTTCAGTGTGGCATAAAAATTTAGACAGTACCATTGGGTTTGCTACACAAATATTGTTACAAGTTTTTGTAAAATTTTTCTGATGAAAAATTATAAACAATTATAACCTCATTGTTCTGAAGCAATTTTATTACTCAGTTTTGTGACCTCTTTAGGTCTCCCATGATCTTTTGTCATTAAGTCACAGGACAAGAATAAAACACATACTACCTCCTGCAAATCTGCATTCATTGTCTGTCCTAGATGGGTTGAGAGATGGGGCAGAAGCACGAGTAAGAGGGGAGAGTGCGAGGATGACTGTTCGTGTCTGAGAATTTGGGGGAAGAATCTACATGATTTATTGTTTAAAAATCTTTGAGACTAAAATTGGTAAAATGAGGAGTGCTTTTGTTAAGGATGGGATTGCATGAGCTACTTAGGATCTCCATTAACTACTGCTTAAGCATCAGGAGTATCAGAAGGCTTGTCTACATGGAGGTTATTTTTAGCATAGAATTGTTATACCTGTTTGTTTTTTTCTGTTGCTCACTTTGGTATTTGATTTTTTTTAAAAAATGAACCATGGCATGAAATAAGGTAAAATTCAAGTCAGCTTTTCCAGCAGCATTAGAATATTCGAAAGATGAATCTGTTCCTTAATATGAAATTGAGATTTATTTGTGTATCTCAGGCTTACTTGGTAACAAATAATTGAGGTAGATGAAGCTAAGTTTTAAAGATCCTATGGTAGAAATTGATCTTTTCTTCTTTAATATTTATCTATGGAGGTTAGAATTTAAAATCGAGTAGGATCTTTAGAAATCATCTCATTTTACTTTTTCTTTTCTTTCCCTTCCCCTCCTATTCCCTTTCCCTGCTCTGTCACCTAGGCTGGAGCGCAGTGGCAGGGTCATAGTTCACTGTAACCTCTAACATCTGTGCTCAAGCAAACCCTTCTGCCTCAGCCTCCTTAGTAGCTAAGCTAGGACTACAGGTGTGGGCTACTATAGCTGGCTAATTTTAATTTTTTTTTTTTTTTTAAGAGATGGGGTCTTGCTATGTTACACACAGGCTGTTGAACTCATGGACCCAAGTGATTTCCCCCTCACTCCTCCAAAAGTGTTGTGATAACAGGCTTGAGCCACCACACCTGGTCTACTTTTTCATTTTTAAATGAAGAAATTTGAAGGATAGGACGTTATGTTGCCCAAGGTGGATCAAGGATTTAGTCACATTGCCATCCATTGATTGTTAGTATCCACTTCATGTCTCAAGGGACAGATAGTACTTACCAGAATTCGTTCTAGACCTTGAAGCAAGCCTGATGATAAAAATAATTTTGTCAGTAAAGGAGTAATGACAGACAGGTCACCAATATAATAAACATGTACAAAATTAAACAAATGTTGATTAATTTATACTTGTGATTGGATTCAGTTTAATGAATGAATTAGATACTCAGATTTAGGAGAAAACATTTATTGTGTTGCTTGTCTAAGTGCTCTTTGTGGATCCTGATCTTCTCCTTTTGGCTTCTTATTATACTTAAATTTTTAGTTTATCTTCCTTACTAGAGTCTACCCATAAAGACAGAAATCCTCTGTCTTGTTCACTTTGTTTCTAGCACCCAGCAACAGCACTAATTGTTGACTGACAGGTTTATATGGCTATGTGGGACACTTACCATATTTAAAATATCTTAAGTTGGAATATTTTATTTTTTACAGTGAACAGAGTATCTGTCAGGCAAGAGCTGCCGTGATGGTTTATGATGATGCCAATAAGAAGTGGGTGCCAGCTGGTGGCTCAACTGGGTTCAGCAGAGTTCATATATATCACCATACAGGCAACAACACATTCAGAGTGGTGGGCAGGAAGATTCAGGACCATCAGGTAAGGGTTTATTAAAATTCTGATTAAAGGTGATCTAGTATGACAAAAGGACTTGGTATATTCGCTAAGATAAAGTAGTGCTTTAAAACTCTAATCAAAATAGTTTTGCTGGGAAAAAATGAAGGGTTTGCCTCCCCACTCTTTCTGCCTTTTATGAGGCCTCAGTTTAGATGAAGATTTAGAACTAATTGTACAAAAACATAAATATGAGTTTTTCCTATGAAACTTCATTAGATCTTCTGGCCTTCCAGCAAGCTAGTTTTTGGAATCTAAAGTAAATTTAAGACAAACAAAAATGAAGTAACTACTTACGTAGCAGATTGTGTGTTTATGGAATTTATTTCCTGCCAAAGGTGTAGAGTATGGGGCTGGAGGAAGGAGTTGAAAGTGTCACTAGTTTCAGAAAATATTGTTAAATTTATATATGATAGGAAAATGGTAGATACTGAGGTTGCCGGGATAGTTAAGCTTTTGCAGTTTGTGTCTGGAATGACAACTAAGCTTTTACTAATTCCCTGCGCTGGATTTCCTAGAAGGTAGCTGGATTATCTGATTACTTGATTTGTTGGGCTTTAACACATCAGGAGCAGTAGACAGAGGAAAAAGCAGAAAGGGTCTTAGTAGCGTTAACTATATACTCATAGAGGCAAGAAATTTTGTAAAGAGTAGATGTACAAAATACTTTCAGAAAAAGTATTTACCAGAAATGTTAAAATCATCCTGCTACACTTGCAGGAAAAATGTAACAGATTTCTTATTCTTCAGTGCCCTCCTGAGCTCAGTACTAAAGAACTGTAGGTTCCTAGATTTCCACTGTATATGGTGGTGTAGTGTGTATGCAGGTGGTGCAGAGTAGCCCTGAGTTTCAGAATGGAGATTGTGAACTGGTACTGGCTAGAGACTTAGATTTGTCATACATGCATATGGGGACTGTGGGCCTATGAGAGGTCAGGCTGTGCAACTGGATATCTTTGCAAAAAATTGGGAAATTTTAGTGGGGCTCTACCCCATCAAAAGTAGACTAAGAGAAATCCTATTAGCACAAGGAGGTAAAGGAGTTTGTTTCTGTCTGACTTGGTTTAGAAGCTCCCCTGAGAAATGGGAAACTCCCAACTTCACTTATACAACTCTAGCCAAGAAATTAACAAACACTGGTCGCAGGCCAGTGAAACTCTGGGGAACCTGGTAAAAACAAATGCAGTGCCTCTCTGGAGAGAAATTTTCACAGTTCTGAGTCAGTTTGCAGAAAGAGCGATTCACTGCATTTTACCAAATGTATCCGTTTAATACAAACTGTTTCAGCCTCTCCCTCTTTCTGCCCTTTCAGGCTACCTTCTCTCTTTGTCTCTCCCCTCTTATTCTGTCCTCTCTCCTCCCTAGCGTCTCTCTTGCCTAGTCTCTCTCCTTTTTCTCTGTGCTCCAGTTTCCCTGTTGGTCTTGCACAGCTTTTTTCTGGTCTCCCCAGTCTCTTTACCAAGAGCCCCCTCTGTCCCATCGCTAGTCCAGGTTATCCTAAGTGCTTTCTCTCCTCTTCCAACAGAATGTTCCAGGGGTGAGTTAGGCCACGGACAATCAAATACTCCCTAAGATGCTATTATAGGGAAAAAATGAAAACTGGACAATTAAAACTGTGTAGAAATCGTTGAACATTCTTACTATAACATTCCAAACTAATAGCTGTAAAGTATATATGTTTTTGGTAAATTTAGTGAATTGGTCATTTGGCAGTACTAATGAATAATCCTATATTGACAAAAAAGGAGAATATTTAAAAATAACGAGAAAGAAATTTAAGCCAGGAAATTTCCATATGAAACATTAAAAGTTTTATTCATAAGAGAATTAAACTATCCTGTGACTCTTAGATTTTGACAAATAAGAGTGTTTCTTAAAATGTTTAGAAATTTAAAACCATGCTTCTAAATAATTTGTGACATTAAGATGAAATCATTGTGAAGATTAGAAAATAAGAAAATACTGAGACTGTTACGGCAAGTGTCAGTGATGGGTCCCAGGGGAATAACCGAGCCACACGCAGAGAGTTGGAGGGTCAGAAAGTTTTATTGCCAGCAGCGCAGAGGAGATAAGCCTCCAAATTCTGAGCACCTCTTCCGGGTTTTTGTCAGGTTTTATACTCTTTTTTGGGGAGGGGTTAGTCTTATCCAATAATACACACAAGTATAAAAGTTAACCAATTGGTAAAAGGATTAAAAGTTAGCCAATTAATAGCAGTTTTTACATGCAGTACAGTCATGATAGGTTTGCAGCTTCACTTAGCTGTTTTGTGGTTTTAGCTTGCAAGGCTGACAGATGTCAGCGTCTACTTTAGCTGCTTTGTGGTTTTAACCAGAACTGGCATGGAAATTTCCCTAACAAGACCTGAGTGGTATTATATACAGAAACCTGTGGGACATCTAAACTGTCCTTAGATGGACAAGTCTTAACTTTATAAAGTAGGAAAAATAAGGAAAAATAAAAATTAATGAGCTTAACTCAAAGGAAGTAACTACTAAAAATCAATTAAATAAAAGTAGACATCATTAACACAAAACCTGCTTCGTTGAAAAGACAAGCTAGACCCACTGGCATAATCAATCAAACAAAAGGTATAAGTAGACCATATTAGGAGTGAAAAAAAGAATACCACTTTAGTTATAGGAAGGAAATAAAAAATTATAACCAAATGTTATCAAAAACTTTGTCAATAAATGGACTGTTTTGTAGAAGAACCAACTTTCTAAAACAAAGGTAGAAAACACGTGACAGACCTACAATCATGAAATAAATCGGTAGTTAATAATCTGTAATACCTTCAAAATTTAAAAAGCTTCAGGGGGAGTCCAGAGCATTTACAAATGAACTCTAAAAACTTCAAGATATTACTTGTTTTATGCAAACCATTGTAGAGAACGGTATTTTATAAAGCTAGGATAATTTTGACATCTAAAACATAATAGCCTAGTTTGAGAGAGGAAAATTATAAGCCAGGATAAATTATGAATACATACATAGATATAAAAGTCCTTAAGATATTAGCAGACCAAATGTAGTAATGAATATGGAAAAGAATACCTCTTGATCAAATTGGGCTTATCTCTCTTTATCTCAGTAATGTAAGGATAGTTCAACATTGGATAACCTGTTAATGTAATTTACCGGGAGAAAACCTATAAGAAGCAAGAGATTTAGGAAAAGCATTTGATAAAATTCAAATCAATACATAATAATTCTTTTTTTTTTTTGGAGACAGAGTCTCACTCTGCTGCTGGGGCTGGAGTGCCGTGGCGTCAGCCTAGCCCACAGCAACCTCAAACTCCTGGGCTCAAGCGATCCTTCTGCCTCAGGCTCCTGAGTAGCTGGGATTACAGGCAAGCGCCACCATGCCCGCTAATTTTTTCTATATATTTTTAGTTGTCCAGCTAAATTCTTTCTATTTTTTAGTAGCGGCGGGGTCTCACTCTTGCCCAGGCTGGTCTCGAACTCCTGAGCTCAAACGATCCGCCTGCCTCGGCCTCCCAGAGTGCTAGGATTACAGGCGTGAGCCACCACGCCCGGCCAATACATAATAATTCTTAGCACAGTAGGCATAAAAGTGAATATTCTTAAGCTGGTAATGGTGGGTAATAGAAGCACACAGCAAATATTTTATAGGATGGTATAATCTTGAGAACATTTCCATTAAAGTTGTGAATAAGTTGAGGATTTTAGCTCAAACTGTTTTCATTTAGTGTTGCAGAGGAGGTTCTAGATAAAACCTAGTAATACAAAGATGAAGAATAGAAGCTATAAGGATTGATAAGGAAGAAACATTGATGATATAACTGGATTAAAAAAACCCAAGTATCTGCAGGTAAACTGTTAAAACTAAAGAAGATTTTCTGCAGGGTTGCTGGATACAAGATCAGAATATAAAAATCAGTAGCATTTTTCTATAACTAGCAATAAACAATTAGAAAATACAATTTTATAGTGATACGACTTAAAGAAACATGACAACGTACCTAAGAATAAACTCTGATAAATAATTGTTTTTGTCTCATTCCAGGGGTGTATTGTTCATTTCTTAATGGTTATCAGTTTATTCTAAGTGGAAACATGTTATCACTATTTATTAAATATCTAAACTTTTGGTAGTAAGAGCGGTTAAAAAAAACACTTAACATTTATTTGTGAAATTGAGTGTGTACAAATTATATAAATCTATATTAATAAATATTTATAAATATATTAAAATATTCCATTTTCAAGCTTAACATTTGCTTAGGTTTTATATAGGTAATAAAGTGCCCGAAGAAAACTTGAAGGAAAGATGCGGTGAAGAATGGGGATGTTAAGCGTGTAAGCAAAGAAGTGCGATTAAATGTTTCAGTTATGATAAATGTAAATCATAGCACAGTGAGGGCATAAAAGAATCACAGTTTGTTGAGAAGATATGGAAAAGGTCATGGATGCCTTCATAGACAAGATAAGATATTGAGCCACGTCACAAGGAAATGTAGGTGTTTATTTCACTGTTTACTCTGTTACAGTCAGGCTAAAAATGGATAAGCATGTGTAGGGTGGAACATCACCACCAAACTGGAATCGAGCTTACTGGGTCTGAAGCACAGAATTAAGGATTATGATGAAGTCCAAGCCTGACAACATGCTTAGTGGACATCCAATAAATAGTTATTATTAAATAAAAATATACATCTTCCTTACTTTTAAAGCATTTAAAGATAATTTACAGTATTGTCTATCCTCAAAGATTAGGTGAATGAAAGAATTGATTCAAATTTAAAACTTTTTTTATATTGGAAAAAGGGAATCATTTGCTTAATATAATTTCAATTCTAGTACTGTTTTTCACAGTGTTTTCTAACATTCTGCTACTGAACAATTGAAAAAGTAAATGTAACAGCTTTTTTTCTGCCATTTTAACCTACTCGCCAAGTAGGGATATAGATTTGCCTTAAAATGGTATTTATAATTTTCTGATAATGGTAAATTTTAGTAGC